AAAAAAAAAAAAAAAAAAAAAAAAAAAATAAGATTGTTACATGATTTAAATAAATAGGTTAAATGGTTAAATAAGTTAAATAAGTTAAATAGGTTAAATATGGTTTTCGCGTGACGTAATTTATACTAAAAAATCCATTTTTTTAATTTTTCAAGTCACGTGAACGGACCGAAATTCCGTGGAGTATTTTATTTGTAGATAATGAATATTACTATGGAAATTTTGCGCCGACGAATCCACCGTATTACTATTGTTTTACACAAACATTACTAACAGTGGATAATTAAAAAGAAACCAAATCAAAAAATAATTTACCTTAAAAGTTTTCTTTTAAAATAATGAAATATTTTTTTAATTGGTTATTTTTAATATGTCACAAGCCTAAAATTTGAAATTTTTTGGAAGTAATTAACAACAATATGAAAAAAGGTGTCCCAATTTTTTTTTTTAGAATCCATAAGATTGGAAATTATTGATTTTAAGATGTTACATTTTTTTTAAAAATAAAATCTACGGAAATGGTTTCAGATACTGCATGTATAAGAATGTACTCACAGACTTTGAAAAAATTTTATTGTGCTTCTTATAAGGTAATGATCGTTGCTATTTTGTATTATTGTATACAAAGATTAACCGATTTAAAGTGCAAATGTAGGTAAATTCTTAAAGATTATAATGTAATACTATTCTAAATACATACAATTCATTTAAATTCCATGATGAGACCGTAATTTTCTTCGTATTACCGAATATTATTATTAAAACTTTCAACTTATATCAATGAATACACATCCGTAATATTAAGGGGCTACTTCCCTCAAAAGGTCCCATTATTAAACGAACCACTACAAAAGTGCAGGCACTGCGGTACGGAATTATGGTATAAGTTTTACTCCTGAATTAATATTTTATGGAATGGAAATTTACTTATGAAGAAATACTTAAATGGTAGATCAAAAATGGTATGGCGTTTTTTTGAAAAACTTCAAATATTACTCGTTAAAAAAAAAAAAAAAAAATGTTTGATATACTGTATTCCAAAAGAGTTGAATAACTCGGAATTTATTAAGTTAATTAATTTAATCAAAACTGGAATATATTGATGACACACACAGAAAATATATATATGTCGGGATTTGAATTTTGAAGAAAATAATTTTTTAAAAAAAAAAATTCACAAAAAATTTTTAAAAAATTTTATATTTTATAAATTTTATAAATTTATTAAATTTATCAAAATTTATCAAATTTTTATTATCACTTTTTACTCTCTTTTTAAAAAAAAATGACCTCTATTAACTCTGTCCAAATTATTAAAAATAATTCTTTATATCAATATGAATTAAAAAATTTCTTAAAATATTTAAATTATGATATAATTTCTTTAATACCATTTGAGAACGACCCAGAAAAAGTCGCGACTCATGTAAGGTTATTCACAGAAATAAACATATTGACTGGTAAAGACGTCTTTAAATGGAATATCGAGGAGGAGGCCAAAAGATTACAGATACATAATAAACGTTTAATCGATTCCGCAACGGACATTGTCTGGCAGTCAAGGATTACCTGTTCCCAAAAGCAACGGTTTGAAAGTTTGTCAAATGACGCAAATGATATCAATCAAAAGATGAGACAAGTTGTCGAAGATACTCGCAACAGTATATCACAAATTTGTGTTACACAAGAAACAGACTTAATTTTACCCGATTATTTTTATAATGGTACAACTAAATTTAATGAAAGTAGTAATATGGATTCATTAATTTTAGGATATTCTAAGGAATTTTAAAATTTTATTTTACCTTATTTTAATAAGTGTATTATTATGTGTAGACAGTGTAGTATGCGTGAATAAGTTATGTATATAAAAATTTTACCCCACTTTTTTTTCAATATTTATTTTTACACTGCTTAGAGTTATTATACATATCGTATATTAGGGATTATTTATATTTTCAATCTTTTAGTCTATAGTGCAAATTAAAACTTAAATCTAAAAATATGATGTATGGAAAATCATAACCTAAACCTTCCAAATTATGCTGCAGCATTATAATATAATTATATAGTGTATATATATAAATAAATAGTAAATAAATAAAATTATGGTAAAAATGCCAAGAAATTTATGAAAAACGTGTTTATTTTTAGCCACATAAAATTAAGTTTCAATAAGCCATTGATTTTTATTGGTTTTTTTTTTTTTTAAAAAAAAAAAGAAATATTTTTTTTTTTTATTTCAAATAAAACTAAATTTATGATATAGTCACGGGATTATAAAGCAGGGGTCGAGTTTAGTTTTGAAATATTTTCGTTATCTAACACGCTGCCATTTGGTAAATAATAATAAATTTTGTTAAATAATATAAAAAAACTCGAATTATCAACAAATTTTAATAAATATTTTGGTTAGTTCTTTTAGTTGGTAAGTCATAAATTATTTATTCATTATTATTCGGGTAATTGAATTATACACAAAATCAGCCCAACGCCGATTAAATTACGTTCAAAGTTTTTATTCGGATATTAGGAAAAAAAGGGATTAGTATTATTATTGAAAATCGTTTATCAATAATTATTCACACATAAGCGACATAGCGTTGTTCTAGACCAAAGTCTATTTAATCTAATATGGCATAAAATTCATAATATAACGTGAAATTCGGGAATTTAATTTTCCTTTTGAAAGATAACAAAAATATCCTAGTCATGCAGATCATATATCATGTTCTAGACCGAGCATGTGTTCGGAAATTTAAAGTTCGCCCGGAAATAGATTAGTCATAATAGTCATAATAAGACTACTAACATAATCAATTACGAAAAGACGCATGGCGCAGTTGTCAAATATGCATAAAAAAAAAAGTTATTATAGAATAATATTAATAGTATGCTAACTATAGTGGTAAAAATTTATACATTGAATATTTTAAGCTGAATATTTCGTAAAATCTGGAAAGAAATAATACAAAATAATAAATCTATAATGCATGAATGTGTAATGTTTTTTTGACAAATTTACTAAACCATTCTTATCTAATTTATTTAAATTTTTTTGGGGTGAGATTTCATTCATTATTGTTTTAATTGTATTAATAATCGATTTCCCAATATGACGGAAATGACGGAATGCATTTTTTTAAAGTTTTTTTTTTAAAATGTATAAACGGGAATTATGAAATTTCAAGACTAGAAACAAATTAAGTAAATTATTTAAATTAATGCAAATGATGCAAGATGTTGTAAAATACTTTAATAAATATTTTATTCAGTTAAAAGTTAGAACTATTTAAAAATCTTTCTTTTTAAAGGTAAAAACTACGGGTAATAAAATTGGGGTAATAAAATTAGGGTAATAAAATTGTTGAATTTAATAAACCTTCTAAATAAGTTGCTAAATAAACATTATTTGTTTTTAAATAATTGTAGTATTCGTACGTAATATATAAAATAATAGAAATAGCATTCGCTACGTATATAAAAACAATAGTGAAAAAAAATTTATTTCGTGATTTATTCCATAAATGTAATATTCCGTATCATAGAATTTCTAAGTGGAAAAAAAAGCCTGTTACTGACAAATTTTATTTCATGGGTCATCCAAATTATATAAATTTCTTATCAGGTAAATTGCATCAAAGTCGTGATTCAATTTATGATTTTCTGCATGCATGAAAATAGAAAAATCTTTTTTTTTTAAAGTTTTGCATATCGATTATTCTCTCATGCAAATATTTTAGTACGAAAATAATCGTATGATTCTTGATTTTCCAATTAGAATTCATTTTTTCAAAAGATAATTAACGTAATATCAGTTTTATTTAAAATAAATGTCATAATTATTATATCAGAAATTCAATTCCAAATAATAATTTCAATTAAATTTGTAATTATGAATGATCAACATTCAAAAAATGCGCCATATAGACGGAATGTCTAAAAAAGTCAAATCATAGCGAATATATAATTCGATCCTTTTTATCCTTTTTCAAAAAATTCATACCGTTATGTAAGGTCTAGATTTATAATGATATACTAAAAAAGAATGTTTGATAATAATATTTTTTGTTTTAATTACGTATTCATGACGAAACTTATATATAAATAACTTTAAAAGGGTTTTTTTTTCTTCGGAAATAATTATTATTTTTTTTTTACTTAATTTGTTTTCATAGTTTGCTTTAAAAAAAATTCATGAATAATAATGTTTTCTTTAATAGAAAAAAAAAAAAAAAGAATAATCGTAAATAATCCGTAATAATCCGTAATAATCCGTAATAATCGTAATATTCGTAATATTCGTAATGATAAAAAAGAACTAACCATATTTTTAAAAAGCTGAATTTTTTTTGTTTATGATTTATTATTTGAACGAAAAAAAGATTACTAGTTATAAAAATTCTATTTAAACCGGGTAATTTTTTTATTTCCAATTCCGTTTTTTTCTAATAATAATAATAATAAAAAAATAATTTTTCGTTCACAAAAAAAAAAAAAAAAAAAAAA